GTACAATTAAATTACAAAAGAAAATAGTAACGCGCAGTAATGCAAAGTGATTTCAATAAGTAACTGTAGTCTGACTACTGGATTTGAAATAGCAACGTGTTAGATGACTTTTTACTGAAAAAAAGTGGTCCGACGTCATTAACACGTAACTGACATCAGTGGTTCTGACCAGTAATAATAATAATAATAATAATAATAATAATAATAATATGGCAGATAATCCGTGAAAAACAAATCAAGCTCCTCTCTGAGGTCCTACTGCTATCTGTAGAAATACAGCACTCAGGCAGGAACAACCAATCGGAGCCAGGCAGAGGGTCTCAGCACTTTCAATCACCCTCATGTACACGCAGCTCACACAGCTAAGTTTGGCAGGCCGGCCTCTCCCAGAAAGGTGTACCTCTGTTCATCTACCTATCAGCCTTGACTCATGGATGCATTAAATCAACCTGTCATCATAAAGAACCTCTGTGTTATGTTAGACCAGGATATGTCATTTAAGGTCCATATTAAACAAGTTTCAAGGATTCCTTATTTTTATATTTGGAAATATTCTGTCCAGGAGAGATGCTGACAAACGAATCCATGTTTTATTACTTCAAGACTGGACTACTGTAACTCTTTACTATCAGGAAGTCCACAAAATACAGTTAAAAGTTTTCAGTTGGTCCAAAATCCTGCAACAAGAGTTCTGATGAAAATTTAAAAAGGAGGAAAATATTTTATCTTCCCTTCATCGGCTCCTTTTAAAATCCAGAATAGAATTTCAGATTCTCCTTCTCACATCCCTCAATAATCAGCTCCATCAAATATCAGATCTTATTGGTCCATATATTCCTAACAGAGCACTTGTCTCTCTGACTGCAGGTTTGCTGCTGGTTCCTAGAATTTCTGATAGTAGAATGGCAGACAGATCTATAGTTCAAGCTCCTCTGCTGTGGAACCAGCTCCCAGTTTCAGTCTGTGAGGCAGACACCCACTTTTTCTCACTTCCTACTTCTCCTGCTCTCATTTTTATATTATTTGCTATTATTTCAGCTGTTAAATTTTTGTTTCTGTTATTTTTCTCTCCATAGAAACTACATCTGGTCTGGCCTTGTGGTTGGCTGACCAACCTTCCTTGAGGAGGGGATTGGCTGTGATAATGTTGCCATGAGCTAACTGTTCTCTCTGTCCTGCTATTAACTTTTTTACTTTAATCAACATCAGAAATCATCCTGCATCCAGCATGCCGTTCTGTTTGACATCACTGGAAAGCTCATAATCCACACTTTCAGAATCTGTAAATATCTCCCTGCTGGTAGTAACAACCTTTTCAGCTTGTCAATGTTCTTAGCCCTTCTAATGAGCCATTATTTTATCCAGGTGTGTTAAAACATGCAGGATGCCGGCCCTCAAGGACCGACTTTGGGGATCACTGATTTAAAAAGACAGCTGTACTTTTTCAAACAGAACCAGTTTAGTTTTGATAGTCATTTCCCCCTTAATAAATAAATCATCATAAAACTACATTTTGTATTTACTATCCAAATCCAAATGTATTTAATGGTCTGAAACACTGAACTGTGACAGTAGACAGTAGTCATAGGGCTGAAATTATGTGACTCCATTCATTAATTGTATCCATATCTATTCTTTGCATGTATTCATATCTATTTTATACAATTTACATGTTGTAAAGATGGAAATAATCATTGTGAATCAGACTCTTGTTGTGTGGCGTCCACCTGGCTTCCTGTGCAGCATGTGTTTGGCCTCCACTGCTGTGATCTGGGACACTGTGGTGAAGACGTGAGCGCAGTGCACCGCTGCTCGCTCCATGCAGTACCGATGGTAGATCTGTCTCTCTCCTGCCTCCTTGTCAATATTGAACTACCAGTACACAAAAATATCAGATTCAGTTTTAAGCTGTAAATTCAAAGAAAAATGACAGTGGAATAGTTGTTAGGATAGGTTCTATCTGTACAGGATCATGTATATTACAGTCTAGCAAGTTATACCATCACACTCCTCTTCTTCAAACAGGTAACAGCACCTTACTTTGGAAACTCCTTTGTTTTGTTGGATGTTTTTCTGGCTTCTCTGATTTTTTTAAGATGTAAAAGTCAACATAATGGAATAATGTTTCCCATTATTCTTTTTTTTCTCTTATATTTTATGTATATGGATACCAGAACCCTTGGACTCTTCGTTCATTTTTCTTGGTCACCCTCATTCAACCATTTTGATTTTTTCTGAAATTTCAACTTCATTCATTTATAAACATGTACAATTCAAATTCAGTTTGAGTCAAATTTAGATTAAAATTGAAATCAATCTGTTGTTGATAGACTTGATTATGTACCACGAACAGATAACTTACCTGTTCGTGGTAAGTTATCTGAAATATCCCAGCTGGTTACATCAGGCCATAAAAGGTTTGGACTTTATGGTTTTAGTAAAGGGGAACCAGATGTGACAGGAACCAGGAGACATGACTCACAAAACAAGAAAGGAAATTATTTGATGACCCTAAATCAGGTAATATTAGAGAAAGCAGCATGTATTGTAATTCCTCTGGTAATTTTAATCAATTCTGTATGTAATGTATAATAATAATAATAATAATAATAATACATTACTTATCGGTTCAAGAAGTCTGTCTTAAAGTTATGGTATCTCATAAGGTATTAATGTTTTTTCATCAATAGAATCGGAAAGGCAGCTGTAGACTGGGGTCATCTGTCAATTATCTATTGAGCCAGTGAGCAATCTGCAGCTCTGGGCTGACCTTTAGGATGTGAGCAGTGGGGCCAATTACAAGCATCACAGTAAGCCATCCTCATACAGTTCAACGTTACTAATCATGCTCTAAATGACTTTAAAATACCAAAACCTTTGAATGTGCAAATCAGTCTGACAGCTACCGATTACCCATGTTGCTAACAGCTCTGTGGTGGGGGTCGGAACACAGTTAGATTGAATTACAAGCAAACTGGGACATTTTTTAGAACAATGAACATGGAGAAAAGTTTCAGATTCATACCAATTCAAACAATTCAGTGAACTACAGTTACTTACTCGTTATGGGTATAAATATCAATAGTTTTAAATGGTTGCCATTTCACATTGACCATTTTTCCTCTTTTGGGGTAGGAGGAGGTATTAGAATGATTTTACTTAAATGGGGATTTTTTTAGATCCATTAATAATGCAAATTATTCATACAAACTGAAATGTAAACATATCAACCTGAAACCAATTACAAAGTAATGGCAAGTCGCATCTCAACATCTTGCATTTCGTTGCCACCAATATGCATTTGTCTAATAATTCTAGCTCAATATGTGATTGGGATTTGTCAGTGTGGAGGGAATTTAAAGCTACCCTAAAAGATTACACCTATTCAGTTTGGTACAAGTTTTGCTCCCAACCATGGGCGCCATATAGGGGGGGAAAGTTTGGACAATTCCAAGGGCCCCTGGCTGACAGGGGACCCCACTAAAAAAAAAATATTTTTTTTTTGGGGGGGGGGGGATTGCGGGGGGGGAGGTTTATAGAAATATATATTAAAAAAATCAGATCTGCATGAAATGGTTCGTTCCTACTTAGTGCACTTGATGTTGAAGGTGTTCAGCAGCAGTCAGACAAGAACAGCTGTGGTAGTTACTGTGCCACTAAGAAAAATTATAAAGTTAGGTTTTCAAAAAGTATAGGGATAGAGAGAGAAATAGACAAGAGTGTCAATTTGTAACCCAGTTTTTCTCCAAGAGAGGTGAGTAGACTGTTAGATTATCAATCATTTAGCATAGTTAGTTAAGCTACAGACTACTGTTTGCCTCCATTTCATTTAATGAATGAAGGAACAAATCTACCAACATATTCGTATATTTAACTTGTCCCTGTACCTTTTTTCACACTTAACAGATGAGTCAGTCAGTAGCAGTTTTAACCACCATACCAGCATGAATGAGATTGATTGACAACACTAAGACCCTCCTCATGATTCTGATTGGTTGTTTTTGGTCAGAACGGCGCTTTACTTTAGCCAGCAATAGTTCAGGAAGGAGGCTGAGGAAGTTGATCTTTACACAATTTATGTCTCATAGCAAACTGTCACAACATGGTGACAGCTTTTAACAAATATTGGAAAAGCATATTTTATTAATTAAAGTTATGTACTGCAGCTTGAACAAAATGCAACTACATAGTATTTTTTGAGAAGTCTGGATTGCTTTATGTGTGTTTAGCATGTTGTCTATGACTGTTGGTGGGGAGAGACATTTCAGTAAGCTAAAGCTAATCATAATAAAAAATTAAGCAACCTATTTACATGCAGTATGTGGACTGTTGCATTTAAAATGAACTAGCAGTAAATACTGTGCTAGTATCAGTATTGGACCAAAGAAAGCAAGGCAGTCACAAACCTGTAAAATTGTGACACTTTTGATGGGTTAGATAGACTCAAGAAACTGTGACAACAGGTACGCAGGGTGGCCCAATTAAATTTTTTGTCATGGGGTTCAAGACTCCTGGCAGCGCCCCTGCTCCCAACTGGGTTTATTTTTTACTCCCACAAAAGATAAGACATAATTCCAAGCTTGACATAGCACCATCAGTTCATCTTGGCTTCATCTGTTTCACAAAGGCCAAACCAGGCTTAGGTACGACTATACCAAGGCAGGTTTGAGTAATTCAGGTAAATGTTTCAATCTGGTTTAAGGCTTAGGCCTTCATTCCAAAACCATCAGAGGTTGCAGTTTTGAAGTTGATTCTGAGGAGCCCAGGTCAGCTGCATGAGACGTCAGCCAAAGAGAGGTACTGTGTTCTACTTTAACAGGGGACAACAAAACATGGTCTTTATGTGCAGTAACATGGGCTGCCTTTATCGAATGTCCCTCCACAGAAAAAAAGAACAGATCATTTGTGCGACAGCACCAATCAGCAAAACCAATCAGCAGCAGGCAAAATAAAGGCATACAAGACATGTATGCCTTTATTTTGCCTGCTGCTGATTGGTTTTGATCTTATCTTTGCCCCAAGCACAACTCACTGGTCTCTTACCTTATCCAAGTTGTTGTAAAAGTCAACATTCCCAGCACAAAGATATCTTCCGAGCAGTGTGGCATGGGTAGTAAAAACCGTTGCCATAGGAATGTTTCGGGAGCGAGAGAGAATAAGCCCAGGCCCTGCCTGCCATTCATGGAAGTGACTGATGACATTGGGTTTGTCTCCAAGGTGATCTGTTAGCTAAAACAAAACAAACAAACAAACAAAACAAAAAACAGATAGATGTTAGAGGTTCACAAATTGTGAAAACATACATTTACAACTCAACCAGGGAGGAACAGGTTGAATTTCTAACACTGCTAGCTTCACTGGTAAAGCCACACCTCTTTAAAGAACCAGGCAATCAAGGAGCCCAGAATGAGAGAGTCATTAGCCTCCCGATCGTGATACGGCAGACCGATGTGGCAGGTCTCCCACAGGTCCCCCTTCCATCGGTCCAGGTTCCAGGCTGCTGAGCCGATGTCAAACAGGATAACATAAGGGCTGCCCTCAATCAGCCAGCGACCAAAATGAACCTGAAGCAGCAGACAGAGTCCAGAAAGTACTTAACCAAGTCTAAATGTTTTCAAAACTGTTTTTTTATTGTCAATTTGCCTTATCCTATACAGGAAGAATAGAATAGAATAGAATTTATTGATCCCCAAAGTTGCTCTGCGTCAGACTGGTGACCTGTCCAGGTTGACCCCGCCTCTCGCCCGGAACGTTAGCTGGAGATAGGCACCAGCCCCCCTCCTGACCCCACTGAGGGACAAGGGTGTTAGAAAATGGATGGATGGATCTCCAAAGTGTTAAATATTGTTAAATACAAATATAACCATATTAAAATGCCATACTAAAGTTTTTATATCTTATGTTTTTAATGAATTAAGACTGAACAATGTTTTAGAAGATTGGAGTCCAAAGTCATTCTTCAAGGGCTGAAATTCTGGATGTTTAGTTCTTACCCTGGTTCAATCTCTGAATCACCTGATGGTTCATTGACAGGCCTCTCTAGAATGCTGACCTGCTGAGAAGGTAATTAGACCATTTGAATCAGCTGTGTTGGAGCAGAGACACATCTAAAGCTGCCATGGCAGCAGGACTGGAGATGGACATCCCTGTTGCAGAGCCTCAGTCCTTGTATTTGTGTTCCCACCAGAGGTTTGGAATTGTCAATTCACCACTTAGAAGGAATTTCCCTTAACTTCCTATAACTTATTTGGACTAAAAGAACTCTTTAAAATGTCAGACTATTCATCAGATTATTATTAACACAAAACTGTAGGTTGTGGAATTAAAAATAAACATTATTCAAGAACTGTTTAAGAGACTGCATGCCTTGGGAACAGTATGTTCAGAGTGAATGGTATAAACTCTTCTAACCAGTAATGAGTGTGTGGATACTAGAAGGTAAAATGCCTAAGTCAGTGGTGTTTCTAGTTAGCACTGGAAGCACCGAGGGAAGGCAGAGGAGCTTGATTTTTTTCACAGATTATCTGTGTCATCCTACATGTCACAACATAGTGACAATTTTCCCCAAAAAGTTGTAGTTAGCATGTTTCTTCATAGTTTGCAAAAAACATAGCTTCTCATAATTGGCATCATTATGCTTAACAATCACTTATATGATGAACATTGAATCTTCAAGCAGCAGTCTTTACCAGAACACACCTAAATACACGGTGGCCTGCAGCTTTGACTGTCAGTGAGAATATTCATTGTTAATACCTTTCCTTCTGGGTCATTCCAGACAAAAAGGCCTTAGTATCAGTTTAGATATGATATATTACTGAGACCTTGAAATATAAGATTAAAAGTGCTATGAGAGACCACAGAAGCTTGTTGAAAGATACATACTCAAAACATTTGACCATTTTCTTTCAGCTTAAAAGAGAATTCTACCACTCACTATGGAAATGTAAAGAAATATGTAAAAATTCTCTGTCATTATTCTGGCATTCATTAAATAAATATTAATGCTTTTGATAATTGTAACTTATATACAACAGGAAAGGTTTGGTCAGACTTAATGAGAAAAAGGATTGTTTATTTTTCTTCTTTGTATTCAAATATTGGGTCTCAGCTGTATTATTGAACATCTTATGACATCTTATGATATGACAAATATACGTAAGATTATGACCAGAATTTAAAACACACACACACACACACACACACACACATACACACACACATACACACCTGGCAACCATTGTTGATAAGAGCATCCATTGCCTTCTGGATCACTGGGTTGGGTGGTACACAGCCTTCCACTTGTGTCTTGAAGTTGTGTTCAAAGTACGGTCCCATCATGTAATAGTTCTCTCCCCATTCATCCACTGTGACCTTAGCTTTAGACTGGATGACAGTGTAAATTCCTCCAACTGAAAGTTCATGAAGTGCAAAATAAATTACATAAATAAATGAAAATATGTTGTATATTGCTGCACATTGTTTTCATGTGAGTATAACTACATCAGCCATTTATAGCATATCAACCCAACAAAAGTTAGACACTTTTTCTATGGCTAACCACTTAGAATTAAGAAGAAATCAATAATTTCAAGTCTCACAAATAACTATAAATATTCCTTATGAAATCTTAAATTTGAGACATTGTAAACTAATGGTAAACTGTGGCACATGAGAAACATTCTAACCCTTTGCTTGTGTTGAAAAGAGGAGCATATTTTCCAGTCTTATGTGAGCAGAAATTACTAAAATGAAATACCAATATGTGATAACTAATGATGTCCAGCCTTCATCAGCTTATATAATTGAAACACTAGTTTAAACCCTGAACTGTTGCATACCATAATTATATCACCACTTTGAAGCAAGCACTTAATTAAAGGAGCAAACGGTCATTGTTCTACATTGTTTTGGATGAATAAAAATGAGGAAGACCCCCATTAGCTGGGCAGCCATAGTTAGGACTTGGGCAAGTCCTAACTATGAGGCAAGAAAGACCAAGAAGAGGAGGGCACTGTTCCATGCCTCCAAGTCAGACAGCGGGGGCCCTGGTGGGGCTTATTATTATTATTATTATTATTATTATTATTATTATTATTATTATTATTATTATTATTACATATATAATAAAATAACCCCGCCTCTCGCCCGGAACGTTAGCTGGAGATAGGCACCAGCAACCCTCCCGACCCCACTAGGGGACAAGGATGTACAGAAAATGGATGGATGTAATAAAATAATAATAATCCCCACTAGGGCCAAGCTCAGTCCTCGCTGCCTGAAAAATTTCAGTCACAGACCATCTGCCAGGAACCCATCACAATATGACATAGCCCAAACGCCTACTGACACCATCATACTACCAGGGGCATTCCTGCACCTTTCCTCCCCCCAATGATCCCACCATCTCCCACAGTTATCCCCACACCAGAGGATATGGCATGTGATTAGTTCCAAAGCTATGAATATACATTCTGCACACTCAGATTTGTAGTCTATGTTAGACACTGAGCATGTAAACATGACTGAAAATCTATTCACTGGGTGTTCATGTTTGTTTGTGTCATATCTCAATGGATAAATAACTAATAACTGGACATGGGACTGTACATGAAAACAGGTCCTTTATTATGGAGGACCAAAACTGACATAATAATAAATAAAATAATAAATATATGTCGGACATAAATAAATAAAAGAATAAATATAGAAATAAAATAATAAATATATATTTTGATAAGAATTAAAAGCACAAATATATATTTTGATAAGAAATAAAAGCATAAATATATATTTTCATTTGCTGTATTTATTTCTGTATTATTTCCTCGCTGTATTTCTGCTTCTCGATATGTAAATGAGGTGGGCAGCAGCCTTCTACGCCCAGCTCTCTATTGGTCAATAAACAGGAAAAAGAACGATCCGTGTGCAGATCGATTGTGAATGCCTGCCTACGTGGCGCTTTCGGCCTCAGTTCAACAGTCCTCAGGAAACCTGACTGAAAAATTCACGAATACTCATTATCTTAAGGACACAATAAAAGGTAAGGTTAATAACAGCATTTAAGTGTTAGATAACCGTTATTACTCATTGTCAATCCACCATTCTCTGACTGTGTATATAATAAACAGTCTCTGATCAGAGAGTAAACCAGCTAGCAGT